GTGGATGTGAACTATGAAGTAAAGCCTGAGCAGCGCTCTGAGAGGCAGTTGATTTGCTTTGACAGGGAATTGAAACAGGAGCCTCTGCAAGTGCAAAACAGTCGTACGTGAGAGATTGTTTCACATGGAGATGGTTTCACGGGAAGATGATATAAGGAGGTAATCAAGCAGGTAAAGCTGGACGCAATTTTCTCTCATCATTTCTCATAATCACATCAGCCATAATCGCATGAGAGTGAGCGGAGAGAGAGAAACTAAGCCAGTTTCTATGCTCTGGTATAATCAGATTTACCCCATGGATGTATTTAATCAGGGTTCTTCAGGTAGTCATCTGAACAAATGTAGTAGCCAAGACAGATCAGCGCCCACCTCAGGCTAATTATGTCATTTCGCTTCAATATATTTTGTGTGATAAAAGCTCTTTGAGGTGAAGTGTGTAATTTCTTTGCCACTAGCAGGACCCCCCAAAAATACTGTTTTCAGACAGGTTTCTTAAACACAGGTTTCTTATTTATTGATTTATTTGTTCATTTATTCATTAGTTAAATTTTTTATTTGTTCATTTACTTGTTTTCTTTTACATTTAACAATTAACATTTTTATGCTATTTGTTTTTACTTTATAAATATATATTTTTTTTTTTTCAAATTGTGCAACCTGTTTGACTAGTTTGGTTTAGTTTCCTTTGAAACTTTGAAAATATTCATATATAAATATTTTGCATATCTCCTGCATAGAGTCAGTGCCACTTTTTGAGCAATAAAGCCTACTTATAGTTGCCTTAGCATATTATCTTGGAAAAGGAGAAGTATTTAAATATTGAAAAAAATATTCACTTGACCATTAAGCAAAGAAACAGCCTTATTTTCCCTATAGAACATTTCTTTTTTGATGAAATCATTTTAGTTGAATTAAATCTGTGAATGAAAGTGTATCGATTTGTAATATAGATGAAGATGTTTATGTCATTGCTGTTAAATCTTGCCATTAAATACATAATGTTTGCATAGTGTTTTTTGGATGTTGTAAACTGATAAGATTTGTTCTCCAAAAGAAAGAGATCCCGCCACAAATAAGGAGATAACGGTACATTATTTCCATCTGATTATTAAGATATAAATATTCATGATGCATATGAATATCAGCAAAGCTTCCGTGTAATTTCCTCTGTCATGTTTAGCCCTTTGTCAGCATACAGATGCAGGAGTTTGTGCTTTTGAAGTGCCTCTGTCAGCGCATTCTGTTTCCCTGGACATGTAAAAGTGCGTTGTCAGAAGACTGAAATCACTCCATAGAGATTTCTGAGATGATCCACACAAATCTGTAATCTCACAGATGGATGAGTACATATAGAACTGGTGAATTTAGTAACGGTGGTGACTTGATGTTTTAGACAAATTCTAAATTATAGTTGTTGTCACAAGTTTTGTTCCATGAACTAAACAGGAATGTTAGCTGTTCGCGATTAATCGATTTGACAGCCCTTATATTTAATTCTATTGGTTTCTTTTCTTTAAAAAATTGATTTGCCATCAGTGCTAGGGTATTGTCAATGGTTTTTGTTGTAAATGTGGTTACTAAGGTTGTTGTAGTGCATTGCTACAGTATGTGGTTGTTAGATGGATACTTCAAATTATTATTCGTATTGTACTAATGTTAACATGCTACAATAATTGACAGTTCAAAAAAGGCCTGTTGCTTTGTACAGCTTATGCACAAAATATCTTCTCGGCATTAGGCCGTCATCTCAGGGGAGCCACTGAATTTGAAAATGGATTCACAGGTACTATATTTAGACCCATCACTGGTGAAATGATGTTCAGGTGAATATCCTTGAACACAATGTGTCATTGCTGTCTGCATATTACATAAGCTGTGTGTGATGCACTCATCTCTCATTCCCAGTCTATCTCTCTCTCCCTCTCACTTAGTAAAAATATGAGTTTTGTCTTACTTTCATAATTCAGCGGTACCTTCACCTCTCGGAGCAGCACATATGGTCTGTCATATTAGCCCTAAAATCAAAATGGACTTTTCTTGTTCAAAGAGTTCACACTAGCCCAGAAATACACTCCAAACTTTGATTTTCAGATCCGAGGTCATGCATATCTGTCTTCTGAATCTGAATCTGCTATTTAAGTGTGCCCCGAAAAAAACAGACAGATGCTTTTATCAGCACTGGCTTGAAAGCTTTCCATATTATTTAAGCAAATATGCAGAAGCTAAAAATCTGTTGGGACTGATTTTTCAAATCTGCTTTAGTCGGAGACGTGGCCCAGGGGGTACAGCATGTGCTGCTTGTGCAGGTGTTAGGAGTTCAAATCCGGCTCGTGTCAGTTCCCGATCCTGAGTTAGACCAGCAAAAGGTGCTTTGCTGGTGTAGCTGGTCTCCAAGCAGGTGTTTAGTGGGTTTAACTGGTCAGCCAGCTGGTCTGCCATCTTCACCAGATGAAAATGTGTCCAGAAACTCTGTATAGTGCTCAAAATAAATGCTTCAGCTTTTTGCTGTTAAAATGTGTTTTATTTTGTAGAATGTGTCCATATTCTATTTATGATTGGGGATATTATGGAAATTATAATGAAAATGATGTAGGGAATTTATCTCAGACAGTTTGATTCATTGTGATGGAGTCAGTTTAGCAATTGTATGACAATAACAGCCAGAAAGATGTCTGATTGGACTATTGTTGTTCCATATGGGAATGATAATGCTTTTATCCCAGCAGACAGCTTAGCTTCTGTATGACTGACTGAATCTCTGCTGTTCTGTTATATATACTATATGTATGTGATTCTGAAGGTTTCTGATTTTCTCAGCAGCATTTCATATTTTATGTCTCCTTGGTTACAAGCTGACTGTTATTATTGATTAAGATCATTAGCCTCATCTGATGACCCATACTTTACATCTGTGCTTGAGCTGTGAAATAAAATCAAATCTCGTTATTAATTACCCACCTGATTAATCTTAAATTGTTCTTTGAATTGCCAGAATTAATAAGAATGCTAAATTAAATAAAACTAATTTCAATGCAATGTCATTTTTCTCAGAAACGTGAAATGATTTTTTGATTTAGGTAGCTTCATGTTTTAATGGTTCACATGCTCAAGTATTTTCCCCTTGGCATTGAATAATAAATGTCTGTTTATCACCTGATTATTGGTCATTGCATTGGCATGATGGAAAGGTCATTAAAGGGATAGTTGACACAAAAATGAAAATTCTGTAATTAATTGCTCATTAATTAATTAATTACTCAATTGTTGAAAAAAGTTGTAATTTTTATATTCTTTGTGCACAAAAAGTATTCTCGTAGCTTCATAACATTACTTTTGACCCACTGATGTCAATATTTTTCTGAGCCTTGAACGTGTCAGTTACTTTGCTGTCTATGCAGGGTCAGAAAGCTCTCGGATTTCATCGGAAATATCTTAATTTGTGTTCTGAAGATGAACGAAGGTCTTATGGGTTTGGAACGACATGAGACATGAGGGTTAATGACAGAGTTTTCATTTTTGGGTGAACTATCCCTTTAAAGCCAGTCTGCAAAAGCAAACAGCAGGGATGGACTTTTTTCTCTCACTGGGAAGTTCACAAGCTCAAAGCTGGATAATTTTTTTCCAGACTAAGATTTTTGTGAAATCAGAGATGATTTGGTTGAGAGCTCAAGGACTGGATTATGATATCGTTGCTAAGTATGCGTCTTGCAAATCCCCAGTGCCTGATTTCTTAAGAATGTGTTTGATTACCCTCAGAAGACTCAGCCTCAGTTAATGCATTAATTATGCACCCAATTTACATAAACAGTCAATATGGAATTTGGAAATAACACTTTGCGAGTTTTCAGAGTTAATTTATTGTCTAGTGTTTTTTTTAACTGACTGTTCGCTCTTATTTGGTTTTAAATGCTGCTCTAGAAATGACCAGAAAGTACCATAGTGCTACCATTTTTATTTATTCCTGTGATGCAAAGCTGAATTTTCAGCAGTGAATTTACTTCAGTCTTCAGTGTCAGAAATCATTTCCTTCAGAAATCATTCTAATATGCTGATTTGGCATGCTAGAAAAAAATCGTATTATTGATGTTGAAAACAGTTGTGTTGTTTAATAGTTTTGTGGAAAGTAATTAATATAATAAAAACATGCATTTGTTTTTGGGTTTTTTTTTTTAAACAGAAATATTTTGTAATGTAATAAACACTGGCACTACTCATAAATCTGTTGAATTCAGAATACTGTAAAATCTGGCTATATATATAATTAAATTGTGTGTGTGTGTGTGTGTGTGTGTGTGTGTGTGTGTGTGTGTGTGTGTTTGGCTACATATTTTTTCAAATATTTTGTAATGTAATAAACACTGGCACTACTCATAAATCTGTTGAATTCAGAATACTGTAAAATCTGGCTATATATATAATTAAATTGTGTGTGTGTGTGTGTGTGTGTGTGTGTGTGTGTGTGTGTGTGTGTGTGTTTGGCCAATTAATTTTTCTTAAACTTCAGAGGAAAATGACCACGTCTGATTTATTAATGTGAATAAACTCCAGCTGTCCGTTTCAGTGGTTCTTATTCAACAATTCATTTACATCATCACTCAAAATGTTCACTGAGGTTTCTGTGCTGCATTTTTTGTATTTTAAAATGTTTTAGTAAAAAATGTAGATAGATATTGCTGTTTATTACTGTGAATCTCTGAATAAATATATTTTATAATTGTGAAACATGCTTCAACTTAAATTACATTTTTGTTGTATGTTATGTCTTGCAGTAAATATTTTTATATTTTAATGCAATATCTTGCTTTAAAAGTGTACTTGGCTAAGTACCATGGTATATGATTATGATAGTTTTAAGGTTATTTGCTTTTACCATGTGAATCTATTGTATCATATCTTACCATCATACTATGAGAGTACGTTTCTGTAAGGCTGTATTTTGCTTAGTCTTGTGAATAGCTTAAATATTCTGATAGACGTGATGTTTTTTTTTTTTTTTGCAGGCACAACAAGACAGCCCAAAGAGGGGGAGGTCCCAGGTGTGGACTACAACTTTGTGAGCATTGAGCGGTTTATGGAATTAGAGAAAAGTGGGGCTTTGTTAGAAAGTGGAACATACGAAGGTAAGTGAAATGCACTGTTAAACCTCAATAAATTATTGCCTCTCGAAATAAAGCTTATATCACACCTGTTACACCATTGAGGCCTGGAATATGAATTTCCTTAAATTTGCTTGATGTTACCGCAAGAAGGAGCACGTATATCTTTGACATTGAGCAAAGGTATTTAGAAGTAGTGCAGTTTGGTCGCTTGAGAGCCGACACTGAGGTGTGTGAACTACTTCCAGACACAGGTTGTTTTTCTCTTCATGAGGCGAGGAAGATCCTTCCCATGACTCTGTGAGGCACAGCATCATAACAGCTTCAGTGGCAGACACATTGAGAATAACTTTATATTAACTCTAAAACAGCAGAAAAATACAAATTTGCGTTTTTTGACGTTCATATGACGTTCTTATAATCTTCATATGTCAGTAAAGAAATATTGAGTTTTATAGTTTCGATAAATTACATTTAATGGGAATCATATCAATTATCGGTGAATATTAGAGTGATTTTTCCCTTATTTTTAAATTAACTTCGCAGTGATCTAATACTCATTTAAAGTTCTTAAAAATCTTAATTTAATAACACTATTCAATGTAATCTTCAGCAAGATTCAAAATGAATATCCAATATCCATAATACTATACACTGATGTGAAGCTTTAATTCACTTGTAGCACTTTTTTTCATTTATTTATTTTTTTATTATTTTTTAATGGCCAGAATTGTATTATCAGTGTATATCCCTAATATTGAATGAAATCAAAATTATTGCCTCATTATTTATTAGCTTTGAGATCATGCTTATGCTAGTGTCCTGTGTTTCGGTTTCAAATAAATGCTGTTCTTTTCAACTTTCTATTCATCAAAGATTGCTGAAACAATTGTATCGAGGTTTTTACTAAAATATTAACTGTTTTTAACATTACTAATAATAAGAAATCTTTCTTGAGCAGCAAATCAGCAGATTAGAATGATTTCTGAAGGATCATGTGACACTGAAGACTGGTGAATGATGCTGAAAATTCAGCTTTGTCATCACAGGAATAAATAACATTTTAAAATATATGAAAATAGAAAAAAGTTCATTTAAATTGTAATAATATTTCATAATATTACTGTTTTTACTGTATTTTTTGATCAAATAAATGCAGCCTTGATGAGGAAAGAAGAAAAATTATGTATGCAAATTTTTGTCCAATTAAATGCTCTCCTGAATGAGAATGTACCATCTGTCTCTGACTGACAATAGCTAGCAACAAATCATGGTTCACGTCAAAACAGTAAAAACAGCTGTTTTTAATTTAATAGGATATGTAAATAGAAGTCAGCACAATATATAGGTATTCTGGGTCACAGGCTGTAATTTAACGGAATCTATGAACTTCACCTCTTCTGTTTCCGTCCCCACAGACCTGCAAATTAATTCCTAGAGCCTTGCTGTAACCACACAGGAGCTCAGTTTTTAATCATTAAACAGATTTCCCTGGATACACATGATTTCTTTTCAATCTTGAATGAAACGATTGAGTCGTCAGTGAACGAGGGTGTCGAAACGCTAAAGATCACACTGAAAAAAAATAACTCCAGCGAAGTTATTCAAAACATGATTGAATAGTTACTTCAAGTCAGACTTCACCTTTTTGCATGCCAAGTAACTGTGAAAGCAGTTTTTCCTAGTTGAAGTCCCAAAAATGTGTTTTCTGTTGTTTCTAGATAACTTCTATGGCACGCCAAAGCCTCTTGCCGAACCCACGCCGATGCTGTTTAATGTGACGGACCAACTCTTGCCCGGTGCCCGACCCAGTGCAGAGGGAAAAAGGAAGAGAAATAAGTCCGTCAGCAACATGGAGAAGGACAGCATTGAGCCACCAGAAGAGGAGGAGGAAGAGAGCCCCATCGTCAATGGCAACGGCATCGCCATCACACCAGGTTACGACCTACCACTGTTACTGAGATAGTTTAAACTGACCCAACTGAGTCAATTATGAATGTGGGCTTCACGGCCCCTACGACTCGTTTCTAATGAAAGATGTTTCAGACCAGAGTATGATGCTTTATTTAAATTTTTCAGTTGTTGCATAACTCCAAGATGAGGTTTTGAATCATACTTTTCAGGAAGGAGCCTTTACTACTTTACTAGCAAGACGTCTCATCCTTTTAAAGTGGAAGCACGTCTCACCCCCTTCCTTTGATACATGGCTAAAAGAAGTGTTTACTTGCATTAAATTGGAAAAAATTAGACTGTCACTCACTGGTTCGTTAAAGACCTTTGACAAGGTGTGGCGCCCCTTTTTAGATTATCTGCTGGCTAACTGTCTTGATACTTAAGCTGAGCATTAATATATAAACACAATTTTTATTTATGTTTTTTAAACATAAAGCATTATTTTTTTATTATTATTATTAAAAATTGATTTATTTATTAATTTTTTTTAACCTCTGTTTTGTTTTGTTTTTTGTTTTTTTCCTTTTTTTTCTTCTCTCTTTCGTTTCTCTCCTCCCCCCCCCCCCCCCCCATAAAAAAATTTGAAATACTTTTCAGGAAGGCTGGTGATATTAGTTAATTAATATTTGATGATAATCAAGGCATTTTTCCAAAAGCAAAAAATATATTTTTATTCATTTTTATGTACCAGTGTAACAATATAATATGAAACAGCTTAATACTGTGTGACACGTATGTTTAATAAAACATTTTAATATATGTTTTAATATAAAATGCCACTCAGAGATTTCGGTGAACATTTCAGATGTTTTAAGTTCTGTGATGTTTCTCCAAATGACATTTGAGGGACTTCAACAATCAATTTCTCCTCGTCTGTGTTCCATTGTGAAAAAGTCGTACACTTTAGCGTTCTTTTAAGAAGAGTCCTTATTAAGGAAATTATATCTCCAAAAGAATATTAAATACTTAAGTTCAAACTGAATGTAATGTTTTTGGACACTCAATTGCTTGTTAACTGCAATGAATTGAGAATTTATTATAGTTTAAATGTATATTAAATTCAGTTAGTGTTCACTTTAAAGTGTTGAAGTACATCTTTATATGCAATTTCATAATTACTTTAATTGTCTTTGAAATATGGTTAAAGTGTACTGGTGAATGTACTGACAAGCATTTACAGTAAACTAGGGCTGTCAAAATGGCTGAAAAACTAAATTCGAATTTTGTACTTAAATATTATCAAAATTCGAATTATATTCAAATTTAAAATGCATCATTTCAGTTAGGGTGAAGAAAAGCTTTTGGCTTCTCTCCTGAGGCCACAAGAGGGTGCATCGAGCAAAATATTACTAATGCATTTATTCAAAGCATAAGATAGCACGACTATCTGTGAAAAAAGTGCATAATGTTTAAAATAATGTTTATAATCCACTTATAATTAAGTTGCTTAAACAACTATAAACAAAAAAGCATCATGTATGTATGCATAGTTTAATACAAAGGGCCGAAAGCCAATCACACAGAGTACATTTTTCATTAAAAAACACGAGTGGCAGTGGGATGGGAAAAACCCCCCGCCATAAAGTCTCGAGATATGTTTTTTCAAAGTTGAACTTGCATTAATTTTATATGTTTTTCTAAACATGCGGCTCTTTTGTGCGAGACGCGAGTGCAACGGTGATAGACGTCCCTCTAGAAAATGCGCGAAATCGCATATTCATATATCTGTGTGAACGGCTTGGTTTCAGTTTTGATGTAAACAAGATCTTCTCCGCATTGATGTTCTCTTTTCCCACAATATTTGTAATTAACAGCGCAGCAGCGGTGCATCTAGTGGCTTCAACTGGATAGGCTAACAAAAACATTGTAATGCAACGACACTTACATCGTCATCGCATCTCGTGCGCCACTGATAAGGCTGCCTCCTTAACGCACACCTAAAATTCGAATGCAACGTTTTTGCATTCTAATGTGAATTTTTATTTTAAATTCAACGAATATTCGAAATTCAAATTTTTTTTGACAGCCCTATAGTAAACTAAAATATGCTTTATTATGATTTCCTATGAAACTTGTATGTTATATATATATATATATATATATATAACATTTGTAATGATTAAGTTGCAATTTAGTACATATATGTACATTATATTAACTTTAAATGAAATATCAAATAACACACTGAGGTTAAAATTAGAATCAATTTACACATGCTTTAATATGTTAGTCAAAATAAGTATACTTCTTTTAAGCATAAAAACGATTAGAAAAACAATTATTTAAAATGTGCTTTTAAGTAAAGCTTTTTATTTGACATCAAAGTGCAATTTTTTTAAATTGTGCATAAGTGTGTGTGTGTATATATATATATATATATATATATATATACTGTATACATGTAGGTGGAGGATTTTATAAATATATATACTGTATACATGTAGGAGCAGGATTTAATAAAAAAAAAATTGTAGCATGTTTGGATGCGGTCTAAAACCATTTTTGGTATTTCACTATTAAAATCTGTCTTAATTGAATAAATGTGGTGTAAAAAAATATATATATAATTAATCATGTGATAATAAGAGTTCATTTTGACAATCCTAGTCATTACTTGTTTGTTTTATGTACCTGTATCTCTTTGTCCCATCCTTTATAACACTCTACTGTCAAATAATTCTCTCAGTCAGAAGGTCATGCTCGACACTGATTCATTTAGTTTTCCCACACAGAATCGAGCGAACACGAGGACAAGAGTACTGACGCTTCCGGAGACGTGCCCGTCCAGTCATGCCCACCCGAGACCCCCACCCTCACCGCCACAGATGCCCCTGAGGAGGAAGGAGACACTCCCAAGTCCCCACAAGACTCCCAGGAGAATGACGACATGGGCCCTTTGCCAGATAACTGGGAGATGGCCTACACTGAGAAAGGAGAAGTTTACTTCATAGAGTGAGTGAAGTGCACTTCAAAGCACACTTCATATAAAAGAGGTGTGAACATATGGAGCGCTACCTGTTGCAGTGTCCTCTTTTACAGATCGTTACAGACAGCTGAATTATTTATGCGTGCTGTATTGAGCTCACTCAGTTCAGTGCAGTTCAGTTTACTGCATTTTGCATTTCAGAACTTCAGCACATGGTAGGGCTGGAAATGTAGAGTAGTTTAAAATTAGAATTTTTTAAATTCTTTTGAAGGTATTCAGTTAAGTTCTTTAAACTGATTAATTAATTTGTATTAATTAATGTAAGATTACTTAATATAAAGTTATAAAATATAAAGTCATTTTATATTAATCATTTGATTAATATATAAATATTAATTGTAAATTCATATTTTCATACATTTTTCAATATTTCAATCAAACAAGGCAATTGTAAAAAATGGTATTTGTTCATATTATTTAATGCACCTGAGTTCATTTGAACTAACATTATACAGTTGTATTTTTATTAACTAACGTTAACAAAGATTAATAAATACTTATTATATAAATATATAAATATTAATAAAATGTTTATTGTTAATTGTTAATGTTAGTTAATATGTTACGTTAACTAATGGGACCTTATTGTAAAGTGTTACCAAAATGTTTAATGCTAGAAGGACGATATAACAAAAATGTATTATTTTAATTTATACAAGCCAAAATATTACAATATAAAACAAATAGTGTTTTTTTACTAACAAATTTTAACACATAAAATCTGTACATGGACTTTAATGAACATTTTAGTGATGAACTGACACATTGGATTTTGCTGAGCCATGAATCATGATGATGAACGAATGAATCAGTATAAAACTGAGGGAAGAGCGTTCTTAAGTGTTCTTAAGAGCAAGAGAGAGATGTTCCTCTCCCTCCCATCTGTCCTTAATGAGAAACGAGGGACTTATTAAAAGTATTGATTGTCATTGTGTTAACTGGAAAACCCCCTGCTACTGTGACTGAGGCCTTCTGGGATATCTAGTCTAGAATGTTTTACATTTCAAAGTGAAGTTTGTACCAACATTTGGCAGACATAACACACTTAGAGACACTTTTGATTCGTATCATGGAAGCTAAACTGTATTATACTTACTATTAATTGTTGCAATATTTGTTCTTTTCAGTCACAATACCAAAACAACGTCATGGCTCGACCCTCGACTAGCGAAGAAAGCCAAGCCCCCAGAGGATTGTGAGGAAGATGGTGAGTGTTTGAGTGTGTTAACTCGTGTGTGTGTGTGTGTGTGTGTGTGTGTGTGTGTGTGTGTGTGTGTGTGTGTGAGTGTGTTGCTCTCTTTTACGCTTGGAGAAATTTGAAGTCGTGACCTCTACTTGTATTTTCCCTCTGGAGATGTACGCGTGAAAGATTGTAACATGAAATCTGAGGAGGAGGTTTCCATTTTGTGAGTTTGTTTGTGATGTCAGAACACGATCAGATTGTGCTCTGGTTTCATGAAACATCTAGAATGACAAACTTCTAGCTAATGTTTGCATGCTGTATTTATGAATGACAGGTTTATTCAGCATTGCTGTATAAGTTTATCTGTTTATTCGTTCATTTGCACATTTTTTTTGTTCATTCAACCATCTTTCCAACCATCCATAAAACCACCAATCTATATAGCCATTCATTCGTTTGTTCATCCATTTGTCTATTAAGCATCTATCCTCCATTCAATTGTTTTCTTGTTCATTTGTTTGTACGATGAGAAAAGTATTAATTAATTCATTCATTCATTCCTTTATCTATAAAGCAGTCATTCATCCTCTATTCCAGTCATTCATTAGTTTATTTGTTCAGACTTTCCCCATTGAGTTGGTTGGTTTGTTCATTCATTCATCCATTAAGCATCTGTCCTCTATTCATCCATTCGTTTGCATATTGATTAGTTTATTTATTCATTTGTTTGTTCATCCATCCATCCTTTGTTTGTTTGTTCATTCAGTAACTAATCCTTTGAGAATCTATCCTCCATTCATTTGTTCATTCATTCATTCATTCATTTGATCATAAAGCTATTTATTCATTCCTTCATTCGTCCTCCTTTCTATTCATTCTTTTTTTTGTTCATACATGCATCCATAAAGCCATTTAACCTGCATTCATACATCCATCCTTCTACCCTCCATGCATTCATTAATTTGTTCATTCATCCATCCATGCTTCCATAAAGCCATCTATCCATTCTTACAGCCATTCATTTGTACATTTTTTATTTCTTCATTCACACTTATAACATTACCTGAGCTCTAAAAATGGAGCACAAGTCAGCATGATATATTCATTAGAATGCTTAAAACATGTATTTTTTATGTTTTCTTCTCAGCTGGGCTGTTGAACATGCTATGTACCCAAATCTACCATCTTTGAAACCCTCTGTTGAATTAAAATGCAATTTAATGGGGCCAGAGAAATCAATATCTCTTTCCACAGGCCTTTTAATGCCTCTCTGTGACATGACTACTAATATCCCTCTCCGTAGTACAGCTTAGATCAATTTTTTGGGCAAGTCTGTGCAACAATGTAAGTTCATATGCATAATCATGATTGATTTCCGTTGTGTTCAATAATAACTGCTGCAAAGAAATCACTCTGTGTATTGCAAATTTGATCCAAGTCTGTCTTCAAAGTTCAGACAAATTCAGATGTCTGTTAGCTTTTGATCCTCATGGGGCGGCACAGTTTCATCATAAGTTCCCATCGAAGGTTAGATAAAAGATGATCTGTCTGTGTCTACCTAATTTTGCCTTCAAAATCAATGTAACTCACGACTGTGTAATTTCAGAGGCGTGCCTGTTTAATTTAGCAACAATGGAATAATTTTTCCATTGTTCTCACGGTCTAAAATTTACTCTGTTCTTGCTAATTAATCATCCCTGCTGTGAAATCTATGCTGTTTTGACAGCATAAATTTCACAGGACTTTTAAAGAGCATTCGGCACACATGTACACGCTCATATTTACACTTGTGCATTCAGTGCACTCAAATATACATAAGCCAGTCAGTGAATGAAAGAGCCTGAAAAAGAGACTTCTCCCATAGTTGCCATGGCAGCTGCCGATGGAGGACCATTGATTTAAGGAGGCTTGAGAAAAGATATTTAAGGTTGTCTGGGTTAGATCATTGTCTTAAAACCATGAAAGGACCAAAAGATTCCCCAAAAAACATTTAAGATTTTCTTTCATATGTATTCTTTATATTTATGTTTCAGAATTTTTTTCCAAATATGGTACATTAATAATCTGTTAAGAATTATAGTGTTATTATATTTATATAAAAATTGTTATTGTATAAATGATAAATTATATAAAAATTGCAATATTGTGGGAATGAGTAGGTAATTATGTTTGAATATTATGATTTATAATATATTAATTATTAAAAACCAAGATATTTTCTAAATGTGGTGCATACATGATCTATTAGGCATTATTGAAGCTAATAATATTTGCTACATTTATAAATGAACATTTTTTACTTTTTTTCGTGAATTTACAATATGGAGAAACGCTGACTAGGTAATATTTTTTGAACATTTTGAATCTTATTATGTTATTTATAACTTATTCATTAAAAACAAATTGTTTTCTAATTGTGGTACATTATAATATAATGTTATAATATTTGTTAAATTCTTAACATTTTTAAAGGGGGTTTGCAGTTCTGCGGGAACATTAAGTAGGTTACTTAATATTGCAGTTTTGCGGGGGTCATATGATGCGATTTCAATTTTTCTTTGGAGTGTTACAAGCTCTTGGTGCATAAAGAAGATCTGTAAAGTTGCAAAGACTAAAGTTTTAAATCCAAAGAGATATTCTTTATAAAAGTTAAGAGTGAACCACGCCTACCTAAAACGGCTCGTTCTAACACGTCCCCACATGTCTACGTCACTGTGTGGGAAGATTTGCATAACGCCACCCAAATGTTCACGCAAAGAAAGAAGGCGTAACTTTTATTCTCGCTGTAGTATTGTTGTTGCCGCCGCCGCCATGTCGTGAAGGCGCTGTGTGTTTCATTGTGAAAGCAAAACTACTTTGTTTGGCCTTCCAAAAGAGGACGATATCTGCTTCGTCATGCCTAGAGCTGATCCGTGCTGGTCGCTGAGGAAATACATCAACTTCGCACTGTGAATCGCCGGATCGGCTTTCACCGTGGACGAAGCGGAGTCCAGCCCGGGGTCGTCACATGTGGTTGCTGCAAGCCTGCCGGCCACTCCTTCGTCTAATCCGTCGGCCGCGCAGTTCTCAAGCCGGCCCGCCTCCGCTCACTCAAGCCGGCCTACGCTCTCTCTAGCCCGCCATGTGTGACGCTGTGTTTCGTTGTGAAAGCGAAAATACTTTAGAAAGGCGGGGCATAGAGGAGAAACAATAATGTACAGTATTTGGAAAATAATGTGTTTTTTGAACCTTAAACTGCATAAACACATTTCATTACACCAAATACACAAAATTATGTTCTTTTTAGCAACATCATATGACCCCTTTAAGTAGGTTACTTATTTAAACATTTTAAATATTATTCAGTTGTTGTTTATCATTTATTTATTAAAACAGATGCCTTAGAGCATGACACCATACCCTGTTGTCCATATTCTTTGTATTTATAAATAATTTCCAACATAATTTTTTTTATATTTTTAATGTGCAGTAATTTTTGCCCATGCATGATCGTTGAGTAGGTGTTAATAAAAATAATTTTTAGTTGGTTTTAAAACATGTTGTTTTCCACCTCCCTGTAAGTTACAAATAGACATTATAAAGAGAAGTAATAAATATGACCTATTATAAGTTAGATAGTTCGATTATAAGTACATTTGGCGCCAATTTCTTCCATACCAAGATAGGATCTTTAAAAGAAAACTACAGTAAATCCAGCCAAGGTTGTGTCACACTTCTCACTTTTTTGTATTAAGAAAGTGTCGCCATCTGGTGTGTTACTCATCTTTCTCTCTGAGTTAAAGCGGTGTATGTGACACATATAAGAGGCTCGTCCTGTATCCTCTTGGATGACAGTCTCCGAAAGGTCAGTTCTTAATGTAAATCCTAAATATGAGACTGGACTCTGATTGTGAGGGGAAGGGTCAAGCATTAGCGGATGCGGTGTAGCCGGTTGGTGTGTGTGTAGGAGGGAATTGATTGCTCTAACCCTCCTAGGGAGGTGCGAGAACCTCGTTGGTCATCACACCTGCTCCTGCCTCCTCCGGCCCAGCTTTCTGTTCAGCGCAGCATCCATTCACTCAACTAATGAATATCTGAACGCAGCATGGCTTCTTTTTACACAGTATGAGTAAAAAACCAGCTTTGAGGGCATGTCTATAGAGTATCTTTATGTGTGTCAATGCAGAGGCTGCAGCATGACTTGTGTGTGTGTTTGTTTCTTTACTTGTTTTTAGAAAAATAAGTGTAATAAAAAAACAATTTGCAGTGTTTGTCCATGAAAAATCTCCACTGTGATGCCATAGTTTTCTCAATGGCTGCCAGGGCATTGTTTTGTGGTTGCTAGGTGGTTTCTAGGGTATTCTGAATGGTTGTAAGGTCATTTCAGGTGGTTGCTAGGGTGTTCCGTGTGGTTGATAAGACATTCTATAAGTTTGGACTAGGAATGTCAACGATTAATCGATGATCGATTAATTGTCGATAAGAGATTCAATCGATTAAAGCTATCAATGGTCGATTAAGCTATTTAATTTTGGGCTGCGTGCGGCTCATGCGCAAAACACGTGCGAGCGGCTGTGAGTGACGGTGACGGTATATAAATGCATCATCATTCATTCATAATGTACAAATTAAGCTTTTAATGTGATTTCAACTTTAAAAGTACATTAAAATAGAAACAACACAAAGTTCTTCAACATGGAAAGCAATAGAAATGTAGTAACGAAGTAATTTCCCCAGATAATTGTTTCA